CGTTGATGACAGTGAAAACGATCTACTTTTCTCTTCCTACTCACTAAGTGTAGGAAACATGATGAACTTCTCTGGTCTATTGAGAGTTCTGAAAATGGTCTATTCAGTTTCTAACTTGCCATGCGGATAAAGTCACCGTTGAACTTCTCCTAGACGAACACGACTACAAGTAGTGAGTCTAAAGGAAAGAGCTGAATTGAAGAAAGTAATCCTTGCCGTTTTGTTGAACGTTGTCTTCAAGTAGCAGTGAAGAGAAAAGAAGAAACTTGACGTGGAAGTCCGGAGGGCCAACACCTACAAGAAGGTATTCAGCTGCTTGACGGAATGGTGCAGCAAAGGAGTAACTCACTGTTTGAACTTTGGACTTTGATCTACAGGTCATGAACCGCTACTGAACAATCCACAGTTGCTAACTAGACCGATAAGATGTAGCACTCAGAGTCTCAGTGCGAGGACAGGGTCAGGGCTAGGGGGAGTGAAACGAATGATCCAGTCGCTAACGTGAGCCCTTTTTGAAATACACCCATTATGTCAACCAGGTCAGTCAGTGCAGTACCTGGCGGATTTCTACCTCTGGAGTAGGCATCGTCACACTGTGCTATATCAGTGATACTAATGCTGTAGGGGGATTTCAAATAGACCTATAGCGCATGATTGTATTTTTACTTACTGAGTGAGTTGTCCGTTCGGTGAAATCTTCTTCAAACGTTGGCGGTGTAGGCTGACTGGAGTAGGCTGACTGGAGTAAGTAGGTCGTTTAGAGAAGGAGAGCGTTGTGCTGAACTTGTTACTCACTGAGAGAACGTTGTGCTGAACTTGTTATTCACTGAGAGAGCGTTGTAGCCACTACAGACTGATTAGTAGTTGAGAGCACGAGTAACAATGACTGGAAAGGATAATGCACGACTAACAAAGGTAGGTAGGCACTTTTCAACAACACTAGAAGACGTTTACAACAAATGAGAAAGGGAGGGAGACGAAAACGGACAACTGGACTGTGTCGTGAGAAATGGAAGACTGAGCTGTGCCGACCGAATAGCGATGTGATCTAATGTTTGAACGAATCGTGCTTTCATGTGGTAAATGGCAAGAGATGCTCACCGTCTGGCTGACCACGGACGGCTATCTACTCATACATTACTCATACTGGTTTAGCTTTGTGGCTGTGTGCCTTAGCTTAGCGAGAACTCAGGCATCTCGTGTCCGCAGCACTGCGTGTGCGCGTGTGTCGTGGTTTGTCACGTGATATGCTGCACAGACAGATTCTGCTCCGCTCGCCTCGATATTTTGCCGCAAAAAGTTGCTGCGAAATCTTCGATATTTTGCCGAGCCTGTCACAAGAATCTCGGTATTTTGCTCCATTTTGCTCCGGAAAAACGTGTATTTTATCCAATTCCCGTACAATCCCGTACAACTTTTCATAAAATCGCAGGGTCGGTTTCTCAACACGGATTTCCACGCACGTGTCCCTTAGTTCTTCCAAAATCATGTGGATCCACAGTGAATCCCAGTGATATTTCGGTCACATGATCTCGTCCTGGGCAGTGTTTGTTTGTTTGTTTATTTACGGATTCTCCAGAGGTAAATGGATACCTATCATGGTAGTCTCACCAAACCAATAAAATAATGAAAATAAAATTAACTTCCTGCTGAACCAAGGAAATCCAAGTATCAGGCACCCAACATCTCGATATTTTGCTCTGATTTTGCCGGCATTTTCCGCTCTTTAAATTCTTCGATATTTTGCCGAAAGAATTGCCGGCAGGATCTGTCTTGGCCTAACGTATGCACGATGTCGTCGCGCTCTGCACAGACCGAGACCATAACAGGTGTTGTTTACATTGGTGACAAGAATCACATTCACACATGTAGACTACACACATAATGGGGGACCTACCCCATTACCACGTAACAACACTACCTGTAACCAATCACGATTCAATTTTTTAATTTTTTTACTAAGTACACCACAACCTACTCGTCAGAATGCTACGCTCTTCTCATCAAACACGGACAAAGAGCTGATGAGATCATGTCTTAGGGTACAGTCCCATACAGACCAGGGTGGTATTGGTGTTGTCAATCTGATTGTCGTAAAATTCTATTTTATAACTGGTTGTTGCCAAACACATGTCACCATAATGACATGACGTCACTGAGCAACTTGACAATGTAGACACTGTAGTAGCTGCTTGTGTGTGGTCTGGTGTACAACTCAGCAACAGACTGTACATTTGGGTGATCGTGGATCAACAGGGCAGCTCTAATACTATGTACTCTACTATGTGTTGTCATGAAATGGTGTGTTGGAGTGCTGTTGTTGTTGCTGTTGTTGTTGTGGTTGTCGTCGTCGCCGTCGTCGTCGTCGTCGTCGCCGTGGTTGTTGTTGTTGTTGTTGCTACTGTTGTTGCTGTCTTTTCCTCTTGCTGTGATCCCCCAGATAGGCGTTAGCCTTTGGGTAATCCTGAAATAAAGATTATTATCACGTGATATTGTGAATGTGCGTGCAGCGTGCAGGTGTGACCAATTGATGTCATTGTTGTGAACCCTTCTGGTTCTCTAAAAGTCAGGAACGAACGACCACACGGCACGAGGACAACTACTATTTACTCTTCAACAGTATATTTCACTTCGATCGACTAATAACAACTAACACTAAAACCAGCAGGTAGTTATAGTGTGAAAATGACAGCGTATAATTATGAGAAAAGCATACATGTACATGTACTACATACAACTACAGCGCACACAGCAAACCGCACATAGCGCATGTAGCGTATACCACGTCGTAATCATCAGTGGTACGGCGGAGTCGAGATACAACTGCATTGAAACGAGCACAATGTCACAAGCGAGAAGGCCTTTCACATTTGAGGACTTGTGGTTTCATAACAGTCATTTCCTGAGCACTTCTATAGCCTTGGCTATTTTGCTTTGTGATATTCTTCTGTCCGTTGCTGTCATTGTGTTTCCTTTCCCCCGTTGCTTCTTTCCTTCCGTATTCGTCTTTGTACCATTGGACCCAGTTACCCTTTTACGTGCCAAGTTAAATAAACATAACGAGCAAACAAATTTAACAAATGAATAAATAAACATTGTATGTAGAACGGGCAAGTCCAGTCCTACACATGGTGCAGTGACGTCATGTCCTGGCTGCTGATCCACCATCAGATTGCAGTGGCCGCTAACTAACGGTGTTAATTCCATGCGTATCTCACTTCATGTACTATAGCTTTTTGCTATCAAACTTATCTGCTCCTGTGTATGTTTAACAGTATAGTACTTTCCGGCTCAGTTTTCTTCTCTTCTTCCTTTGATTAATTAATTGCTACATGTATATCATATGTACAATGTGCCATTGTGTTGAAAATCAACGTGTATTGTGTTTTTGTGCCAATGAAAAGGGCTGTCCTAATAAACAAATACACTACAAAAGTTGTGCTTAAGACTTCAGCCTGTACCTTTTACTACAGAGTTTTGCCTTCAATCGTCGTGACGTCATTACACATAACACTACACATAACAACCCACAGTCGATGCGCCAGATTTGAAAAATCACGTCGGAACACAGAGTTCTATTTTTCAGAGGCACCCTTTTTGGGCACTTTTCTCAAGGCATTCTCAACATACGATCGTTTTCATGTATGTACGTGCTGGCCAGTCTCACGCTTTCTCGGAGTTATTCGTCACACTCGAGGATTCAGTAGTCGCCTTTCACCTTTTTCTGTTATGAGTTCTTCAAGAACGACGAAATTCTGTAGTTTGGTGTCGCTACACGTCGGTTTGTCTCTTTTCCTTTTTTCGTCGAAATTTCGTCGCCCGACCTATAATTTCGTGCCACCGAATTAACCAGGCATTTCGCTGCTTCTATGCTGGACGTATCGAAAGAGTAAGTCTTTGTGACATTGGAGCGGAAGTTATGTTCTGGCCGAAAAAAGGGCATGCCTCTGGTGACGTGATTTCTAACTAGTGTTTTTACGTATATTTTCCATGCATGTATGCACAGATGTCAGCGGCAGGAAGACCCAGCAATGCCACAACTGGCACAAGCATACATACTTGACGACCATGTGGCCCAGAATGAAGCATTTGCTCCAAAGTGCCATCTGACAAGCGATTTACACATGACTCAATGCTGTCAGATTGGCAAAAGCTACACACATGCACATCCATCACGTCAGGCCAATGCATTTATTGCAAGTGCGTCAAAGCACTACGACGCCAAGTATGCACAGCAGCGAAAGAAAATAAGCCACCAGTCAGCCAAAGCACATGCAGTGTACATGATTGCAGCGGAGCGGCATCCGTACACTGTCCTGCAGACAAACTGCGCGTGCACAGTCTGAAAGAACAGTGCGAACTGCTTCTGTGCCCAACCCATTACCAGCAGTGTGTGGGCCATGCAACATGTGCTTGGTGTAAGTCGAGACTCACACCAGAACACAGGTGGAAGTCACCAAACTTTCAGCTTGCAGAGCATGTGTTGCGTAGCATGCACCATGTCAGGATTTCAGACGAGAGTCGATTTTGTAGACGCTGCTACCAAAAGCAAATTGACATGCTCCCTGCCGACAAAGCACCAAGCACAGACCACCAATTGCGAAGCATCATCTCTCAGTACAGCACGGAAGGTGCCGAGAGTAATTTCCCCAATATTATAGTCATTGCCGCTACAGGACGGGAATTGCTGGACAAGGATGCCATATTGTTGACGACAGTGCACGATTTGTATACAGAGACTTTGCACCCAGCTGCTGACCCCAAGCCAGCGGCATACGTGCTCGGCAAATTGAAGTTGACCCTGGAGCACCACTTGCACGTCATTCCACTAAGTCGCGGAAGGATGGCACATTGCTGCTACGCAATGGATGTAATGTAATGCTGAGAAGGCACTACATATGATCCTTTCTGCAGAGCGTAAACACAAGATAGAGCAAACACCAACAAAGCTGGAAGACCTCACTCTGCCATGCTCACAGCACAATTGATAGCCAGCAACC